CAATAAAAATGATTCCTGAAATTATCAATGATCAATCATTTTGATTCTTTTGTCTTTTGCATATTGAACGTACTTAAACATTTCTATTGTCAATTAAAAAAAAAAAAGACTTTTGGTTCTTGGGTTTCAAACTTCAACGATTCAACAGATAAAATATAGGGATCCCTATTTGTTCCTAGATTCCCGTCGCTACAGATTTATTGTATTAAACATATGGGTGGGCGCTTACAAAATTTGTCAGTAACTGTAGCATCCTTTGGATCCTTATAAGGTCCAAGTTCTCTCTGCTTTGTAACTTTTATATGTTAGAACAAAGTTTAAGCATATATATGGGCCGTGTTAATTCTTTCCCATGTTGCGGTTGATTAACTTGGATGATCAGTTGGTGTTTGGTAGAAAACATGTTTTGGGTTTGGACAAGGCAGAATTGTAGTACAGAAAATACACACACAACACACAATTGAAAAATGTTACACCTGAGGCAATTTTCATATTTATAGAGAGTGTAAAGTGGTCATGGACTGCCTCGCTAATCTCGGAAGTAGCCTTGAGTTGGGACTCTAGTGTGTTTCATGGCGCTCAAGACTGTATCAGGTCTTTTTTTATGACAATTTACCAATTGTTTCTAGGCCTCGTCTCATATCAGTTCTGATACCACTTTGTATTCAATTTCATCTTTTTCGTAATTCTTAAATCAGCGGCAAATTTATGGTGTTTCTACAACTAGTTAGAAACTTTGCGGGAGTTTAAATCATTTCCACTCCAGTAAATCAAAGGAAGTGATTTACTAAAATAAACACAGTTGACAGAGGCCAATTAAGAATTTCCGGCTAGAATTTCAATCTGTTTATCATCTGAGATTTGCCCTTCCACTTTACTTAAGATGGATGCTGCTGAGATATTTGGAGGAACTATCTGATAAAAAAATTTTTGGATAAACTACTTCTACACAACAGATCCCCTGATTAAGTAAATTAGAACCGAAACTAAATATTTCTTAATCACAATCTTGTACAACAAGAAGAAAGTTTAGGAAAGAACAAGAAGAAAAGCACTTATGGAAAAAAGGAGAACAACATGAACAATATGTTAGATATATTGTACACAGCAGAATTCCCCAAAATTTATACGACTACTGAAAGTTTTCTTAAAAATTTTCAGACGTAGGCGCGAGGGTGCGCCATGAGGTAGGCTTCCAAAACTTCATACATCCCAATAGCTCTATCCTTGCCAAGCTCAATGTCTTCTTCTTTGATCTGTACATCATCTTTGGTTTTGTATGTGCTGGTCAAATGACAGATGCATCCTCCTCTTCCATACCCCTCAAACTTGACTTCATATGTTATGTACTCAAGCTTGTCCAACAAGTGATCCGTTGCATCGCTTTCGATGAAGGTGTAGGTGCAGCTGAGTGCCTCCTTGTCCAAAGCATCAATCCTGTGCTTAGCATATTTCATAGGACTAGCTGCACATCCCCAACAAAACCAACACAAAAATTAGATATGGAATTTCATGTAAAAACATAGAGAAAGAAAAATGGAAAATTGACCAAAATGATTTTGTTTTTCAGTATATTATCTTTATCTGATTGCTACATCCTTAATCTTTGGTTTGATTTTGATCGGTTCAACAATTGAGATTTGATTTATTATCCAATTTTCCAAGAAAAAGAGGGTTGACTTTTAATTTGCCTAACAATTTACCTTCAGTGAAGTTGATCTGTTTGATGGTTCCAACTTCTCCTGAACCGCTAAGGAATTCAATACTTTTAATTGATGAGAACATGAGCTTGGGGCAGATGTTGTGGGCATCCAAGATCAAGGCGTTGAACATCCTCTGTGGCGTCACCTGAGTCACAAACTTCTGGCTGATCTTGGTGACACCCATGCTTGCTTTGCTTGATGAACAACACTTGGGAGTTTGGATCAAAGAAAAAACAAAAGGTTTTGATTTGTGAAAATATCAAGAGGGAGGGAGGAGCAAAGGTTATCCGATAATTATTTTTGAATGGGAATGATGAAGACCGAACGTTAGGTGGTGGGCTGCTGCTGCTTTGCTGGGAAGTTGTTGGTATGCATAATATTTTTTTTTAAAAGCAAATAAATTCAATATGCAATATGTAATGGTGGAATGCGATGTATAAGTTGGACTAAATGTAACCCAATGTGGACTTTTCAACAAGGGGAGGGAATCCGATGGTCCCTTTTGAAAAATGACAAACTGGATGACTTGTAGTCACATGAAATCTTCATGCTCTGAAAGGTACATGGTATGCTTTATGTTTAGGAGGAAGATTGCTTCAAATGTTAGGCTTCTAGTGACATGGAATTTTCAAAGTTGCTTGAAATGTTAGACTTGTGGTGACACAGGAATTTTTCATGCTCTGAGAGGAGATCTAACTCATCTTATATTAAGCAATAATCAAATCTAACATTGTCAAGACTACATGAATTTCCATGCAATGTTCAAGTTTTGGTGCTCGTAGAGTTTGTTCAAGCCTTGGAAACAATTTGGTACCGACCACCACTGACCAATTGTGTTTCCCTACTGACGTTAAGTCACCACCATCACCTCTTCAAAATTTGTGACACCTATTGTGATGCAACAATCTATATTATTACCATTTATCTCTATTTATAAGGGTGGAATTAGGAATTTTACAAGGTAGGTTACTATGTCTTAAATAGGCAAGCTTTGAATAAATTCTATTCCTTTTCTCACAGGGAGGAAGCTTGAATGTTATGGCGCAATTGATTGACTATCATTTCAGATTGAGTCGTTAAGATAAGATATCCTAAACTATTTTAAATAGAGAGCAACACCAAAAATTAGTACTAAGATTGATTAGTGTCAAAACCATAATATTCCCTCGCCTTAATAATACTTAAATGCCATCAAGCACTGTAAGTGCAAGCCTATAAGATCAAAATAGCTCAAACAAAAATACTTGGAAGGAGATCAACTGTATTCTTCTACTGTAAATATTAGATCAAAATACTTTTATACCCTTTCATTACTGTAAAGATCGAAAATGAATATGTTTAAATCTTATTTATTAACCAAAAAAACATTCGAACCTCATTACATGAATTATAAGATATCATATATGCTTTAGCTTTTTGTTTCACTCACTGTAACAATATTGACCTTGACCATAAAATAAAATAAAAACAATATTGACCTATAATAAGAGCTTACAGTACAATTATTATTTTTAAGTAAATTGTAGTAATAGTGTTTTAACTTTAATCAAATTGGAGCAATGGTCCCAACTTTAATCAAATTGGAGTAATGGTCTTTCAACTTAAAATTCATTACCATTGGTCTCTCAACTCATCAAAACGGGTAACTATGGTCATTTTCATCAACTTCGTTAGAATTTATGTTAAAATAAGTCATGTGTCATGCATATGAGGCTAAATTAAAGGGCACATGTAAAAAAATCAAATAAGAAAAATTGTATCAATGATCTCTCAACACATGTTTTTCAGCCTTTAGGCAGCAGAAGGATCAGAACAAAGAAAACCCAAAACTTTCCTCTTTTCTTCATCATTTTGGCATGATAATTTTCACCAGCACTCCGTGATATTTATGATTTGATGGGCCTCTATCACTTTTTGTTGTATTTTATTCTAAGAGAAATGCTACCTAGATTTTTTTTAAGTATGACTCTTATAAATTCTCTATTATTTCATAGTTTGACGTCAATTATAGTGTCAATATTATAAAATATTGTATAAAAACATGAGGTGGTAGAGAGTACATGAGAGTCCCACTTTTGAGAGTGTCCCTTGGCATTTCTCTTATTCCAGTGCTAACATTATAAAATACTGTGTAAAAAATAATTTCCAACTACTAATATTATAACACTTGGTGTATCACATGATGTGGCGATTGATGGTTAGACTATTTTTTTAAATCATTAAAAAAAGAACCTAATCATCAACAGCCATGTGGTTTACAAAAGATGACCTAAAAATTTGGTTGACATTAATCCCTTGCGGATCTGAAATGCTAGAGAGAGCAAGACAAAAAAAAAAAAAAAAAAAAAAAAAAAAAAAAAAAAAAAAGGGAGAAAGAGACAGAGAAAGGTACAGAAAAAGAAAAAGGAGGAGGTGGATATGAGACGCCAGCGATGGAAGGTTTGACGGTGTCGGTGAAGGAGACAGACAGAGACGACGATGAAGAAAAGAGGAAGCAGACATGGAGGAGAAACCATGAGAGGATTATCTTTTCTTAATAAATGGGTGTAATAGACCCCAACAAAAAGGAGACAATTTTGTGCACTCAAAATAGGTGTGATCTTTTTGTGATTTTAATAAGTGATTGACACGTGTTTATTATCTTAATTTTTTTTAATTTTATTGTTATAAATTTAATATGTCGAAGACTTATTAGAATCACAAAAAAACCATACTCATTTTTTATGCAGACAAATTGATCTCAACAAAATACCCAAACCCATCTAATTCATTTATTTATGATCCTATTAGAATTAAAAAAATAAAAAAAAATCCATGGATACAAGTACCCATGGGTCAAATGGCCATTCCTGAGCCCATCAGTCATGGATTGGTTATTCGGAGATTGTGGCCCCATAGTTTATGTTCCTTTCAAGCTGAGCCCATTCTAAACCTTAGTTATAGGCTTTATAAATAATAAATAAATAAGAAGAAAAGGGTAATAATTTTCCCGCACCCATCTTATTCTCTGTACATGTTTATTTATTTATGACTATTAAATTGTAGAAGGAGGAGGGTCAAAAGACGTAAATTAACAGAAAGTTTGTAAGAGATGAAAATGAGTGTGTCAAAATCATGGAAAAATTATTTTTATTGAAGTCAATACATGGAGAAGGTATATTCCAATGGCCATAGTTACTGGCATTGTCAAGCATATTTCCATTTATCAATCCCGACAAGCTAGTGAGGGCAAAACCCCGACCGCCCCCCACACCACCCCTAAAAGAAAATTCTTTAGGGCCTCTTTCTACATAAGATTTAAGCATAGGCATCAGGATTTTGGAGGAGATAGGCTTCCACAACTCTGTACATCCCCAAGGCCCTTTCCCTGCCAGCTTTTATTTCTTCCTCTTTCAGCACAACGCCACCCTTGGTGTAGTAATTGCTTACCAACCGGTTCTTACTACCCCCATCTGGTGCAGCTTCAAACTTAGCCTTATAAGTGATGTATTCAAGTTTCTCCGCTACTAATGGTTCTCCTTCAACCAAAGTGTAAGCATATACAAAGTTCTCTTCGTCGACGTCGTCAACCCGGTTTATCACAGATTTGAGCTGGCTACCTACATGAAAAAATTATTACGTGTATTCAACAACTCTGTACATTATAAAATGATCAACATGTGGGGTGTGTTCTCCGGCATATATATTATGTTGCCGGCCACACTATCAATCTGATACCACATATTCAAGTGTATATTTATTTAGAGGGACGGACAAGGGGAACCAAAACATCCTTCACCTTAGCTAGTCTGAGAGTGGATGCTTTGCATCATCCTAATTCAACGAGCTAATATCGCCTAATCTTCTCTTTTATTGAAGAAAAAAAAAAAAGTGAAAGTGTCTACTCAAATAGTGATATAGAATCTTTGGATTGATAGTCTAGTACGAGAATATTTCACTCGCAGTGTTATATGGTAGCCAGGTATTATTTACATGCCTTTAGCGAAGTTGATCTTCTTAATACTTCCTGCCCTTCCGTCACCTTTGAGGTTGTCAATGCTCTTAACAGCCTCTGGCATGAGCTCTGGGATCAGGATGTGAGCATCAAGAACCAAGGCCTTGAATAACCTGTCCGGAGGGATTGGGGAAGTGTACTCATCTGTACGAGTGAAGACACCCATGCCGGAATTTGCAAAAATGAAATGAATAAGCAAATGGCCTGTTTTTGGAAAAAACAAAGGTCAGGGGGATAATATATATAACGATGAGGTTGAGGATGTTGAGGATTTATGTCTAACATAAGGGGCGGTATTTCCAGGGTTGATTTCCCAATCCGCTACAGGAAAGACAAAAGAAAATAATTTTTTTTGTTTCGAAGAACAAATTTGTGCCTTGTGATACCTTATTGAAATGGCAAACAACGAATGAAGCGTTTCCAGCTGCTTCTTAATGAAGGTTTTTTTTTATTTTTTTTTATTTTAATGAAATGTTTTTTTAGGGTCTATTTGATAATTATTTTACTTTTTAAAACGAAAAATTGTTTAGTTACTACTTTGAATATTGCCTGCCAAATTTTTTGTTTTTTTTTAAATAAAGATATATTTACACATACCGTGTTTTACCGCTATGACGAAAAACAATCATGCTTATGCATCATGGTACGGGTTCAATCTCCACTAGTTCTTCTCCTTTCAACAACTTAATTCACTAACGCTATCATTTGTAAAAGAAAACACACTATATATATTTACACTTAGTGGTGAGATAAATTGGTTTCAAACTCACTATCAAGGAGATCCGAGTCTAAGACCTCTCACTTACCGAAAAAGAATAATATTGCTAGACCATAGTACTAAATGAAATTAAAAGCCAAGCCAAAATTTGAGATCTCATAAAAGTAACTTTCAATTTTGATTTTTATATTTTTTTGACTACTAAAATTAATTACTAAACAAGTTTTCAATTTTCAAAAAAAATAAAATAAAATAAAACAAAACAAAATAGTTAGCAAATGACTAAATAACACATCTTAATTTGGTTAAAGATATCCATAAGTTCATAAATATAGTTTTTTTCACGAACACAGTGAGACTAATGAGGGACTGCATATTCAACGCTAAGGAGATCACATGTACCATATTAATGTACCATTTGTACATGCTACATCAATTAATTATATGCATCACTTCACATAAATAGTACAAATATATGATCTCCTTCGTAATCCCAATGAATTACAAATTTAAAAAAATTAGCCTTGTTAAAGTCAATTGATATTTTCGAAGAGATTGCGCCTTGTTAGTAATGATCCAAAAGTCAAAACGAGAGGGACATGATCATGGAGAGATAAGTAGGTAGGGTCCGTGTCATCGACGATTGATACTATGAGCACATGATGACAAATAAATGTATGGATGTGCTTTTTAACTTCCAGTTTTGTTAATTTTTTTTTGAGTAAATTATATTTTATCCTAGATTGATTTTAATTTTTTACAATATCTTTAAAATATTTCAATTTCATATATTTACTTATCATTTTATTTCAATTTTATACATTCATTAGAAAATCTAGTAAGTAACTTGTTAAGTGATAACATGACAAATATAAGGTTCTCATTTATGCTGACGTGGCTGTCATATTTATGTCACGTAACTAAACATTTAATAAAAAATTTAAAATATTAAAAGAATTAATTAAAGAAAATTAATAAAAAAAATTTTAAAAAAAATCCAGAAATCACCTTCGTCTTCCCCACCCATCACCCACCCCCAAAAATCTCACCGGAGCCCACCCCTTTCTCCCATACCCCATCACCCACCACAAAAAATCCCCTTCTCCCGGTCGTGCTTGAACAACCCGGACCACTCAACCCAACTGAAGAGGCGGAGGTGCACGAAGGTGTGGATGCGGCTTCGGTGGCGGCTTCCAAATTCCCCTACCCAGGTAAAGTTTGGGGCTCTTGAGCTTCTTCACGCTGTCCTCCAGCTGGTTCCCCGGACCACATCCACCACTCGGCTCGAGGTCCGATTCAAATCCAACGAATAAGGATGAGGGATTGTTGATGGATAAAGTGGAAGTGAGGGTGGTTGTATGTGGTGTGTGAGATTTGGGAAGTGAGCGGCGTTGGGTTCATCGTGGTTTTCAACATGTTTTGGGATTAGGGAAGTGAGGATTTTAAGATTGGGATTTGGGAAGCATATTTGCATCTGGGTTTTGCTGACGAGTTTTCAAAGGGTGAAGGCGAGGGTTTAGGTTAGTTGGGAGAAAAGTGATTTTAGCTGTTTGATTTCTAACGAGGATGGGTGGGGTTACAGATAGACGGGGGTGGGAGGAATCGAAGTATTAACGAGGAAGGATGGCTCAACGAAGCTGGCGGCGTGGATATGGAAGAATGGTTCCCACTAATCTCGACGAGCTCCGCCGTCAAACAGCAATGCAGCTGATAGCGCCATAGGTCACATCGCCGGCGCTGCCGTGGCGAGGCCGTGGAATCTAAGGATGAGGAGGGCAGGGTGCAAGGCTCTAATCGGCGATGGCGGTGGCCGACAAGAACAAATTTCTGGGTGGGGTCCACTTTATTTTAATTTAGGTTTTTTTTAAATTAATTTTTAAATAATATTCAATTATTTTTATTTGACACGCCATAAAAAAGTGGACCATGTATTTGCCACGTCACTATTTTAACGGTCAATTTAACAGATTAAGTAACGGTTGTATGAAATTGAAATGAAATAGTAGTGAATGTATGAAATTGAAATACTTTAAAGATATTATATGATATTGCAATTGACTTCAAACCTGAGAATGTAAATTGTAATTTACCTTTTTTTTTTTTCATTAGCTCCGCATGCTTTTTGATATCTTAGCTTATTTCAATTTAGTTTTTTTTTTTTTTGAAGTGAAACGATTCCGATTCTATTGCTCCGCATGCTAATTTATTTATAAATTATGTTAGATTATGTGTTAGATTAGCTAACGACAAGACTTTTGATATGATTTTTACCACTTACAAAAGTAGGGATAAAAACATTTTAAAATACTTGCAAGAGTACAAGGTTGTCATATTATAGTAGCTCAAGTAAGATCGTTTTTCACATGAATTGAATGAATAATTTGTATTTAAAACCTACTCTTAATTAATTATTTAAAACAAAGTTTGAAAAATGTTGATTTTGGAATTTAAAATATTAAAAACGAATTTAAAATAAAAATAATTAAATAAATTGACGAGAAAATCAATTTAAAGAGACAATAGAGTTTCACTATCACTTTAACAATCCTACATAGTTCTTCCAATCACTTATGAATTACTCATGCATATTTTGAAGGTTAGGTTTTCCTAATATATATTCTACTTGAAATCTCCAACATTGAACATATATCTAACATGCAACGCGTTCGGACGTTCGGATCAAATATGAACATGAAATATTCATTAAGTTTTATGAAAACCCTTTGAAAAACCATGGAACCCTTAAGACGTGGTGTTCATCCTAAGTGAAATTACAATTACTAACCACAAGAAGCTAGTGTCAATTTCAGGAAACCTTCCGACCAAAATTGCATCAAATTACTTTTCTAAAGATCTTATTGGTCATTGGCGGAGCCCACTTTAAGGGCTACCTTGGGCTATAGCCTAGGTAGCTTTTGGTGAAAAATAAAATTTGACATGCAATTTTTATTGATTTTCGAATGTAGTCCACCATATATTTAGTCACTAATCCAAATTCTCTTGGTTTGATTATATAAAATAATATAATACAGTTTACAAACCATCTTTTTTTTTTGTCATTAATTTTTGTATATGTACGAGTTTGGAATTATTTGAATTTAAACACATATTAATTTGTTTAATAACAAAAATTCATGGCTCACCTTGTCAAAATTTTGTTTAGCTAACTGATATTGTAAAAATACAGTATCATGTTTTTTTGTTTATAAAGATTTAAATCTTTAAGCTAGCCCACCCGGTGAAAAATTCCTAGCTGCGTGTATTGGTGATCAAGCATTAAGACAATTAGATAGTTTAAAATGGTAATCAATAATTCAAAGCATGCAGGCAATCAATCATAAGCAATTAAATAAAAATTATATATTCATGTTGTGGCTCAAGGCTTCGCCTTAACAAAATGGATTAGTTACGCATATTCATAATTAAAAATATTCTTATGAAAAAAAAATGATTGAAAACACCTTAAAGTAAAAGTCTGAAAATCTTCAAGAACCTTGGCCAATTTCCTATCTCCAAAGTTGTCAAAAGACTAAGACCAGCCAAAGCCTTATATCCCTCTCATCAGCTATCGCATAATCCCTAATAAAGTCCTTTTATCAAACTAGGAAACCAAATAAAAATAAAATATTATAGAGAATAAAATCCTAATTAAGCTAGGAGAATCCGCAAGGAAACTGTCTAGCTATGTTTTAGCCTCAAATCTCATCCAAATCCAGCTCATGACAGCTTTTTTCAAAGATCAGAACATTCTGAAAAGATCTTCAGAAGGGGCAGACTCCAAAATAGGTCATCTTGGGCTCCAAAGCTCGTAATCAAGCCCAAAACGTCACTTTTCAAGCATCGCGCACTGTGTTTTTATTCTATTGCCAAAAAATAATCACTTGGTGGAAAATTTTGATATTTTGACACGATCAAGCTAAGTGACTCAGGAACGTCCTCCAACTAGAATTACTCTAAAATTCATCCATATGGTCACGTTTTCCCCAAAAGAAGTCGGAAGTCATATATTGAAAATACATTTTAAAGCATCAAATTTCTTCCAAAATAATAACCAAAATAAACTAAGATTAGGGTAAAATATGTAATGTAAAATCTACTCATCAGTTCTAACCCATCCCATCATGCAATGACTCTATACATTTCCACCACTGTGGTGATCTTAATAAATTTCTCAATGAAAAGAAAACAAAAGCCTTAATCCTAGTTTTAGGCTTACACCAATTTGAACGATTTCTTATTTACATTAAAAAACAGGCTTAGACATTTGCTCACATTAAGAAAACATATTCTTTACCCAAATATATATATATAGAAGATTTTATGTAGATCAGATCAGAGTGCGCCAAATCAACACGCATAATATATTTTCCAAGTTGCTTCTTCTAAGGCCCATTAGATTTTATTTATAAAATGAATAGTTTGACGTATTTAAAAAATACAGGGGGTTAGCTGTCAAATATGACACTCAATACTTAGATGACTGAAGAGGTAATTAAGGAAGGTTGAGTTGTCAATGCTCAATATACATACAGATGACTTTATGTTTCGTTTCTATCGTTTCTCTGATCGTTCTTTCTTATATTTTTCTCTGCCTCATGACTCATGAGTCTAGACGGTCTAGTACACCTTGTTGAAGTTGTTAGGATTTCTAGCCGTACTGCTAGGGTTCCTAGTTTTTAGGGTTGTTAGTCACATAGGAGTTCAATAATCCCTATACTTGAGGGACAAGCTTGCATTTTCTGTTTTTAACGTAGTCTTTGCCACGATTATAGGACCTGTAAAATCGAGGGCAGTTGCTCTTTTTCTAGTTCAAGCGTAAGGCTATTTAATAGCCATAGTAGTTGTTTTTCATTTAATAAGAATTCTCCCTTGTTTACATGAGCTTTCAAACCTTGATTTACAGAAGTTCTTTGCAAATTTCTTGGTTCTAACATCTGGTATTAGAACCCTGCTACGGGCCTGATTAAAAAGCTTGCAACCCAGGTGCTAGAGTGAAGAAACAACACATGGCGTTTAAGAACAATTTCGTGCAACCATCCATTCCAAGGTTTGATGGACACTATGATCACTGGAGCATGCTAATGGAGAATTTTCTTCGTTCTAAAGAGTATTGGAACTTGGTGGAGATGGGGATCACAGCTGCAGCAGGGGGATCAGATTCTAGTGAAGTACAGAAGAAGACTTTGGATGAACTAAAGCTGAAGGATTTGTAGGCCAAGAACTATTTGCTCCAAGCCATTGATCGGTCAATATTGGAGACCATTCTGAAGAAAGATATTGCGAAGGATATATGGGATTCCTTGAAACAATAATATCAAGGGATTGCACGTGTAAAGCGTGCTCAATTGTAGGCTCTTCGCAAGGAGTTCGAGGTGCTGCACATGAAGAATGGAGAAACAGTCAATGACTATTTTGAGAGAACACTTGCCATAGCCAACAATATGAGAACTCACAGGGAGAAGATGGATGATGTGGTGAAAATTGAGAAAATTTTGAGGTCCATGACTTCGAAATATGATTATGTTGTCTGTTTAATTGAGGAATCTAATGATCTGGACACCCTGTCCATAGATGAACTTCAGAGTAGCCTTTTGGTCCATGAGCAAAGGATAAGTCGACATGTGTTGGATCAACAAGCACTCCAAGTCACTCATGGAGTCTAGCAAGGAGGACGAGGCCAAAGAACTTATCGAGGTAGAGGAAGAGGACAGGGTAGTCTAGGGTTCGACAAGTTAACCCTAGAATGCTATAACTGCCATGAACTAAGGCACTTTCAGTGGAAGTGTCCTAATAAACCTAAGGAAGATAAAGCAAAATATGTGGAGACAAAGGAAGAGATGTTGTTGATGGCACTTGTGGAGTTCAAGGAGGCAACAATGGAGCACATATGGTTTCTTGATTTTAGGTGCAGCAATCATATATGTGGCAAGTAAGACATGTTTTGTGAGCTTGATAGCAGTTTCAGAGAATCAGTGAAGCTGGGAAATGATTTGAGTTTGACTATGCAAGGCAAGGGAAATGTGCAAATGAAGTTGAATGACATTGTACATGTGATCATAGGTGTTTTCTACGTGCCAGATTTGAAAAATAATTTGTTAAGCATTGGTCAGTAGCAAGAGAAGGGGCTTATAATACTCATCCAACATGGAAGATGCAAGATCTTTCACTCTGAGAGAGGTTTAATCATGGAGACCAAGATGAGTCACAATAGAATGTTTGCAATGCTGGCTTATTGTCCACCAAAGGAACAAAAGTGTTTCTCCTTGCTGACTCATAGATCAAGCAAAACTTTGGCACTGTCGCTATGGGTATCTTAGCTGGAATAGGCTTAAAGTGCTTCAACAGAAGCAAATGGTGGAAGGATTTCCTCAGTTCATAGCCTCACAAAGGCTGTGTGAAGATTGCTTGGTAGGAAAACATCACCGAGATCCATTTCCCAAAGAAAGCTTATGGAGAGCCTCCAAGATTCTTCAGTTGGTGCATGCTGATATATGTGGACCAATTAACCTTACCTTGAACAGCAACAAAAGGTATCTCATCACCTTTATTGATGATTTCAGCAGAAAAACATGGGTCTATTTCTTAGTGGAGAAGTCAAAAGCATTTGGCACATTCAAATCCTTCAAAGCACAGGTTGAAAAAGAAACTGGGGCATTTATAAGAAGTTTGAGGACAGAACGAGAAGAAGAGTTCACCTCGCATGAGTTTACAAATTTCTATCATGAGAATGAGATTCATAAGCAGCTAACTACAACTTACACTCCCAACAGAACGATGTTGTAGAAAGAAAGAATCGCACCATAATATGGTGCGAAGCATGTTGTCAGCCAAGCAAATTCCCAAAACTTTTAGGCCTCAAGCAGTGAATTGGATGATGCATGTGTTGAATCAATGCCCTACTCTTGTTGTGAAGAACAAGACACCTAAGGAGGCTTGGAATGGACACAAATCATCTGTGGATCATTTCAGGATTTTTGGTTGCATTGCTTATGTTCATGTACCTGACAACAAAAGGGTGAAGCTCGATGCCAAAAGTTGTAAGTGCATATTGCCTGTGGTAAGTGAGGAATCTAAGGCTTATTGACTATTTGATCTTGTTTTATAGAAAATAGTTATAAGCTGAGATATTGTGTTTGAAGAGAATCAACAATAGAGTTGGGATGACAGTCACAAGGAGGCTATATTGGCATATCTCGAGTGGGATACTGATGAAGAAAATAGCACATTAAGGGAGGAAAGTGACCCCGAGTCTAAAATTGATGAAGTTGTGGGATAGACTGAATCCTAGTCTGATTAAAGTGACTTATTGGTTGAATGAGACATTCAAAATGATGAGATCTCACCTCGTATAGGATGAACTCGAAGACCACCAATTTGGATGAGAGATTATGAAACATGTCAAGGTTTATCTGATGAGGAGAATGCTAGCATGGCTCACTTGGCGTTATTTACTAATCAAGATCCCACAACCTTTGAAGAAGATGTGAAATTTGAAAAATGGAGGCAAGCTATGGATCAAAAGATACAAGCCATAGATAAGAACAATACATGGGAATTGATGGAGTTGCCATCAGAAGGGAAAACAATTGGAGTAAAGTGGGTGTTTAAGACAAAGCTCAATGAGAATGGAGAAATGGACAAGTACAAAGAAAAACTAGTTGCTAAGGGATTATGTCAACAATATGGGATCAATTATACAGAGGTATTCACATCGGTGGCTCGTCTAGACACCATTCGAATTGTCATTTCCCTTGCTGTTCAAAAGAATTGGGTGATCTACCAGCTTGATGTCAAATCTGCATTTCTGCATAGGGAGATCAATAAAGAGGTGTTTGTCGATTAGCCACCTAGATATGAACAGAAGGGGCATGAGTCTAAGGTATGTCAACTTAAAAAGGCTTTATATAGACTTAAACAGGTTCCCCGAGCTTGGTATAGTCGTATAGAGTCCTACTTCATCAAGGAGGGATTCAACAAGTGTCCTTATGAGCATACCTTGTTCATTAAGATAGCAAAATGAGGTAAAATTTTAATAATGTGTCTTTATGTTGATGATCTCATTTTTACTAGCAATGATGAAACAATGTTCGAACAATTTAAGAAGTCTATGATGGTAAAGTTCGACATGATTGACTTTGGAAAAATGAGATATTTCCTTGGTATTGAAGTGATACAAAGTTCTGATGGGATCTTTATTAGTCAACAAAAGTATGCACAAGGGGTATTGGAGAGATTTAACATGGATCATTGTAACTCAATTCTCAATCATGTGGTCCTTGGTTTTAAACTCACAAGGAGTCGAAGTTGATAGCACTGTTTACAAACAAATGGGGGGAAGCCTTATGTATCTAACAACAGCACGTTAAATGGACTGTTGACTTGGGGATGTTCTACAAGAAGGGAGGAACTGAAGAGCTTATTGGATATACGGATAGTGACTATGTTAGTGATCAAGATGATAGGAAAAGCACCTCGGGTTACGTGTTTATAATGAGTTCGGGTGTTGTTTCTTGGTCCTGAAAGAAACAACCAATTGTTACTTTATCCGCCACTAAAGCGGAATTCATAGCAGCAGCATCAAGTGCATGCCAAGTTGTATGGTTAAGAAGGATCTTGAAGAGTCTTAATCAGGAGTAGTGTAGTCCAACCTTGGTATATTGTGATAATGTTTCGACGATCAAACTCTCAAGGAATCCTGTGATGCATGGTCGTAACAAGCATATTGATGTAAGGTTTCATTTTCTTCGAGAGTTGGTCAAAAGGGAGTTTTGGAGCTGGTGCAGTGTTTAACTCAAGAACAAATTGCAGATGTCTTAACAAAACCATTGAAGGTTGATGCTTTTTTGAAGATGCGAGGTTTACTGGGTGTTTGCAAGTTTCCAGGAGTAGATTGAATATCTGTGGTATTCAGTTTAAGGGAGGATGTTGAAGTTGTTAGGATTTCTAGCTGTTACTGCTAGGGTTCCTAGTTTTTAGGGTTGTTAGTCACGTAGGAGTCCAATAATCCCAATACTTGAGGGAAAAGCTTGCATTTTCTGTCTTTGACGTAGTCTTTACCACGATTATAGGACCTGTAAAATCGTGGGCAGTTGCTCTTTCTTCTAGTTCAAGTGTAAGGCTATTTAATAGCCATGGTAGTTGTTTTTCATTTAATAAGAATTCTCCCTTGTTTACATGAGCTTTCGAACCTTGCTTTACAGAAGTTCTTTGCAAATTTCTTGGTTCTAACACAACTCCTCCAGATTGACATGCGCAATCACAAGTGGTCATGTAACGAATAATTAGTTTGGATAGTTTAACACCTAATAAGTTTTTGTTATTCGAATAATTCAAAACTTTCGATCAGATCCATAAGTTTTGGAATGAAAATTAGAACTTGTTTTTATTTCGATCCGTCTGAAAATCACCCTTAACCCTACAATCACGTAAGAAACTTTTCTTACAATAAATAGAGGAGTAAAGAGTTAAAAGCAAGTCATCTCAACATCACGACGGTATTGTTACCTTCACTTAAAACGTAGTATTATTTAACTCTTCAATAGTCATGTACATTGTAAGTAAGTTGTACGTGAAATTATTTGTCGTATACGTCTTAAGCCTTACTTTTTCAATCCTGAATTTGTGGGTCCTCTGGCGCAACCTAATGACAATAACCCAATGTACTCCAAAGAAAAAGTCTAGCTACCAACAACTTTTCAATATGCTTTTTAATTTGGATGTATTCCTTAAAACCAGAAGACCTTGTCCGGAAGCAAACTACCATCTTTAATTCTTTATCACCATTTTGTTTGGATAATTAAGCCGCATCAATTTTAATTTTTTGTCATTATTTCTTCTCGTATGCAGTACATATGTGTGTATATATCATCATTTTTTTATGTAGACTTGCCTTTTGTATAATCTGGTTCATTATACTTTTATTATGCCAACCCTTTTATTATGCCAACCCTAAAAATCCTTGGTTGACAGAGACTGAGTCACGGGCTCAAGTCACGATCTACCGGCCAAGAAAGTCGTTCAAATTCTATATATATATATATAAAAAAATTTTTAGTGCAACGATAATGTACATCAAAGGAGGATGAAATTCGGCTAAGTTACACAATGAGCAATCTAATTTGGTATTGAATTCGCCATCTGCGAGATTCGAATTTAAAACTTTTTACTTACAAGTGAAGAATCTAATTTGGTATTGAATTCGCTCTTTGCGAGATTCGAACCTAAAACATTTTACTTACAAGTGAAGAAGGGACTAGGATTCGCTCTCCTCCTTTTTTCATCCCCTTTCATCCCCTCCTCTCACATTCTATATTTTGTCTTTATTCAATTTATAAAAAATTAATATAAGATGTGGCGTGACTTAACCGTGACAGTTTAAATAGATAGAGAAGGAATGAAGAGAAATAAAGAGATGAGATAATCTTACTTCATAAAGAAGAATACCCCTAACTGTATGACAAGTGGTTCAAAATTTTAAATAATGGTTTTTCTCTTTCTGCAATATCTTTCTCAGATTTGTTGGAATTTGCATTTGGTCACATTTGTGGATGGATCATGGATGCACATGCACTAGGTCATGGATCACCAAACTGGTGGACCGTCTCCTTATCGGTTTGAATTTTCTATTTGTGGTGGAACGTCTCCTTATCTGTTTGAATTTTCTATTTGTGGTTGTTTGAAGTATTGTATTTCTAAACTAGCCGGTTCATGTTTGTCTAGTTCGAAGACATATATTTGGTTTAAACGCTTGCCAGCATAATAATGCCGTTATTCATACATTTATTTTTAACTAGCATATATTGTTTTTAATTTTTAATTATTGGATCGAATGAATTGAAAAATATCAATAATCAAAATTAATAAAAATATGTTAACACTAAAAAAAAAAAAAAAAAAAGATGTGAATACTACATCTTTAATATAAATTACTCAGTACATCTTTAACCACTTATAAGTTAGGGAGCTTTAATAAAAAAACTCGTAATACTGTTCACTTTAACGAAAAATCATATTTTTACACTAAAAAGTCAATCCTAGTACTATTCACTTTACCTTTTATTTTGTCTTTATCGTTAAAACTCAAAGTTTTCAAAATTTTTTTCATTAGTTTTCTTATAAGTTATCATGAAAGTATATGATAATTACTGAGCAGCAGTCTTTATTACTTAGAATTTTTGTTGAAAACAGTTACTTTTCTTTTGGGATTGACAGGAGCAGTAGGCTTTAATTTTCGCATCTGGAAATGTGTTTTTATAATGATTGAAAGCATTTTTGAGAAAATATTTTTTTGGTTTTAAAAACACTTGACGTGCTTTCTTCAAGAAGCACATAATTGGTGTTTTTTAAAGGAAACACTTGAAGTGCTTTTCTAAAATTAACTTGCATTTTTACTAAGAATTGGTTTAAAAATATATTTTTCTAAAGTGTTTTCAGTTATTTAAAAACACGAGTCCTAATTTAGGTTATCATAATTTCCAACCAAAGTAAGTATTACCTCAAATTTGTCAAGAACTACTTACTAATAATACTACATTCATAGTACCTTTTCGATGTCCAACTCTTGAGCGGATGTTATGGTTTGTTTTTGGCATAGTTGTCCAAATGAGACTGAAGCAAAATATCAACTTTTCCAAGTCAATTGCTGTTAACATAGGGAGCGACTTGAAAATTCTTCTTAGTTCTTGGGGCAGGGGGAAGCCATTCTTAATTTGATGACTTGGAATATTTGTGGGTTCTGGTTATGCTGCAGAGTTGTGACAAAATCTGGTTTTGTTAGATAATGTTTTGAAGACTTTAGGGATTAGGAAAAGGAAAGAATCTGTCTCATCACAACTTGTTACGATATGAAAAGGATGGACAAATAGTTATTTAAAAGATGTGTAAACATATTATTGTTTATAATCAATCGGTGAAACTCAAAAATTTCCCTTGTCAATAGATTTGCCTCTAAAAGATGTATAATTAACATTTTTAGGTTTTGAAGAAGTTAGTCAAAATAATAATAATAAAAGAAAAAAAAAATTACTGCAGATCAAAGGTTGCAAGCGAGACATTAACTGATTTCATTATATTTATAGATAATACACTTACAGTCTGCAACTTTTTTTTCAAACAAATACATCAAAGGCAACCAGAAGATGATCACAACCATAACACTTATTTTCCAAAGCCAACGTGCCCAAAACCATGGCTACTTTGGGCTGACGAGAAAAAGCATAAAAGAAAAGCCACACAACCTTCGACTGATCATATGGTAAGGGTAACACCCAAAATACCATAGAAACATATTAATTTAGTTGTATGCGTCGGGGTGCCCCTTAAGGTAGCTCTCAATAAGCTTGAACAAACCATGAGCCTTCTCTTTGCCAGCCTTGACGTGCTCTTCCTTGATCTCAACATCACCCTTGGTGTGGTAGTGGCTGATACTCTTGATGATGGAACCACTTCCAGATGCCACCAACTTGGTCTCGTAAGAGACCTTCTCAATGGTGTCTGTCAAAGCATCTCCTTCAATCAAAGTGTAGGCGTATGAGTAGTTTGCTTCGTCAATCGAGTCGATCTTGTGCTTCACGTAGCCGTATTGGCTGCCTGTGAGACAAATAAATCATTTATTGTTAGACTGTGAATATAAACCGCACATAATCATATATATAGAAATCCACTAGCGCTGTAATAGTTTGACAACATCAACATGTATACGTGTTGATAAAATTTGTTAAACGAAACCATCTAAATAATTATCAATGCTTATTATCTGACCTTCACCGAAAGTGATCTTCTTGATGGTTCCGGGGCCACCGTCTCCTTCAAGGATCTCAGCATGCTTGATTGCCTGTGGTGCAA